CAAAGATAAACAATGTTCCTATTCATTGTCCAAGACCAACTTTCATTGGATTCAAGCACCCAAAAATAAACTTCCTATACAACTTCCACAATCAACATCCCTGCAATACAAGTCCCCAAGTCCTGACTCTGACCGCTTGCTCCTGCCTTGCCGTCCCACAATGTCACCCTGAGCCGATGTCGTTGCTGCATTGTGTCGATCAAAAAATAGCTCAAGCTGTCAAGACCGTCGGGTCTCCTCATGCCCGCGGCGCCACGGGCATCGGGGTGCGTTTGTCGGGCGGCCGTATCGGCACCTTCCTAATGCGGCAACCCCTGTGGGCACCTCCGTCCAGTCTGGACCGCACCGACCCCCGTTCCCTCGGAATCGCCCAGGCGGCACCTTCCTAATGCGGAAGGCGCGGGCGGCCCTCCACATGTGTGGCGTCACGCCCTCTTCTCGCACTGAAACATTTTGACTCGGTTACTCATCTTTTAAATACAACCTCGTACGATGTACAAACTATAGACCGACACATTTTATAAAACACCACCCAAATGTCTACATCCTTACCTCCCCGTCGGCCTCCCGCTCGGACCATGGAAGCGTCGTCTTCCGAATCCACCTATACGGAAGCCCGTCCATCGCAACCAGAAACCAACAAACTTCGACACTTCTTCAAAAACGCCAAAACCTTCCTTGTGGACGAGTTCCACCCTGTCTTTTTCGCCCCTGTTATGGGCACCTCCATCTCAGCAAACATCTTGTACTCCTTTGCCTTCCCAGCAAGATGGCTCCAGATCTGTGCCTATATCATGGGCACTATCGCTTTGATCATATTCATTTTCGCTTGCATTCTGTTTATTTGGGCTCTTCTCCAAAGAAAGGGTTTGTGGAACCGCCTCCACAGAGATCCCAAGGTGGCGCCGTTTGTCGGTGTCATGGTGATGGGATACACAGCCTTGATGATGTTTCTACACTCGATAACAAGAGAATCCTGGGCCTGGGGGCTCTGGGTGCTCTGGTGGATCGCCGGAGCGCTTTCCGTGTATTCCGCTTTTGTCACGGTGTTTCTTTCGCTTTTGGCCAAACACAGAAACTTGAAAGATCCCGTCGACTACAAGGATATTTCATTCACGTACCTTTTGCCCGTGGTGACGCTTACTGTGGCGGCTCTGATGGGCGGAAACGTCGCTGAAGACTTGCCCAGCACCCAGGCGAAAATCATCACGGCGGTGGTTTCGTTCCTCATGTGGGCCGTTGCCGTTTTCTTTGCATCCATCATCACCACCGTGGTGTATTGGCGTCTTTTCACACACAGAATTCCGGGCACGGCAGCGGTATTTACGTTATTTCTTCCCATTGGTTTTCTTGGCCAGGGCGCCTTTGGCATTCTTATTTTCGGCAAGAACTGCGTCAACTTGATCATGGAGAACCACGAGCTGGTGCTTCTGCTGCCCTACACCACGTTTATCCACGAAAGCGCCCAAAAAATGGAAAATGTCGGCAACGTCGCCACAATGTTGTCTGTTTCCATCATGGTCTGCACCACCGCCGCCGCCATGTTCCTTATCGCATTTGGCTACTTTGCAACCTTTGTCGCTGTGGCATCCACACTTTCCAAAACCTGGCCCTTTGCCAAAAAACCGAATCTAGAGTGCGTCCGTGACAGCAAATCCCCGGCCATGCGGTACTTTGACGGGTTGCTCCGTTTCAACCGCGGTTTCTGGTCCATGACTTTCCCTTTAGGCACTATGGCCCAGGCTAACGTAGAGCTTTGGCGATTGTTCAACGGGCTCAAGGCGTTCCGCTACATTTCGGCCATCTACTCCGTGACGCTTCTCTGCATCACCATCGGGTGTCTTTTTGGCATTTGCGTCCGGGCGATCCAGATGATTATGGCATCGGCGAAAACCAACTCCAAAGAGTCTGTATAGACCCATAATAGCCGGCGCTTTCAACAAAGTCCGGTCCAGCCTCTGGCTACGAGATACGATGATAACATTCAACATGATAATAGAGATGCTCCGCAGAGTGTTTTGAAAAAAGGGCCGAGCTGCTGCTCCCCGTATATAGCATAATCGAGCATACATCAATTCGCAAACACAAGACCAACTAGTACTTCATGCTTTCTGCAAAGGTGTTGATATCCCGAGATGGGTTTTTGAGTGATATCAATAATTCCCTTCATTCAGGCATTTCAGAAGATGTTGTAAGATATAGTGAAAGTGCAAAAGGTGGTGGAGGTGCAAAAGGTGAAAAAGAGACAGAAAGAATCTTCCACTACGAAGAGGCAGACATACACTGCACGACGCCGGAGACGGACCAGGAGCTTCTAGAGATTTTTGGCTCTTCAGGCTGTTCTTCAGTGATTGCCTTTGGAGAAGAGGAGGAGTTGAAGGATGAGATGGTGACTCACGTTATAAGGCGGTCAAACAGGAGATCCAGTCTGGATACGACGGATTCTGATAAACGTGGTGGCCCCCTATGGTCTGAAGTACTAAGAGAAAAGGTCAAAAGCCGGGAAAGTGAAAAACAGGCCCTTCCATCAATGGCTGCAAAATCTGAGACCCCTTCAAGAAATGGAGTTCTGAGGAAGTCAGAAGACCAAAAAGCAGCAGACCCAATACTTCCAGTTAATATAACGAGCATGAAAGCTTTGAAACCGCCTCCCAGACGACCTCCTGTCCCAGTGGCTCCCAATAGTTCATGGATTGAGGTGAAGAGGAACTCTCAAACGAGGTCTAGTGAATTCACGCAAAAAGCCCCAAAACAACTGGTCCTATCAATATCCATTTCAAACACGCCCCCTTCAAAGAGAAGTATGCCGCCTCCACCAAAAACCGAAATCGTGAAACCTAAAACAACTAGGTCTCCCAGACCAAAGCCTACCAAAAATCGCGACCGCCCTTATGAGCCGCGCACGACCATCACCAACGTTTTCGACGAAATACCCACTCCATCACGACCAAAACAGCCACTTTTCACCTCCACTCAAATCCTCCCATCCCTCTTCATCGCCACCCTTGCCTGCCTCACAATAGCACCCTGCCTCTAGCCTGGATCAAAAATAGCATCATTTCGGTCACGTGACCGTACTACTCCAGACACAAGACAGCGAAATATAACCACACTTCGAGATCAGCACCTACACCTCCGTCTTTAAAACCAAATTATACGTTAATGTCACTTTCTGTAGTCGTGCCTGACCCAGTGCTCCTGGATACGGCCGACCTTGAAACGCTACACAATGCACTCAAAAAGTGCCGAAAAAGAAAGACCCTTTTTTCTGGAGAAATCGTTGAAGGCTACGTGTTATACCGCTCTGCCACGGCCCAGGCACCCAAAAATGTACAGGTGTCGTACTCCTTCGAAGCATTGACGGATCAGGGGCTAAAACCAGAAAGTCTGGATCCAGATGAAGTCACCGAAGTCAGAGCTGAATTGGTCGCTCAAGGTGCCTCTACAGCCAATGAAAACGAGAACATCACGATATGGAAATTTGCCACCGGCGTGGCTAGTCCTCGTCTGAAGATCGGCAAACCTGTCACGTTCACGGCTTCCATGATAGATCCCTCGGTTCCGACCAACGGCCATGTTCGAGCTGAATCTGAGACTTCTGAGGAGTCAAAGGGGGAGAACACGCCTCAAGAGGTCATTGAGGAGCACAAAGACGCGTACGGACCCAGCACGCTCAAGGCGTCTGAAACGCTTGCTCTTCAATTGGCCCTCATGATGAAACTCAAGTCGACGAAGCCAGGCGGTCGAAACGATATCCTCCTCAGCTCGCTCAGCATTGAGGCTTCCGAGGATCTCCTCAATTTCGCCTGTGAACGCCGTTTGAACAACTTGCTGTTCACGATATTGAATCTTGCAGTGGACTTGCCCAACGGAACAGTCACGAAACTCTCTTCCATGGAAACGCCAGCTCGTTTCGGCGTCCACGACGTCACCTCCATCACTTACAGACTCATCAACAGCATAGACAGCCAGCTCAAGAACGAGCAGCCTGAAACCACCCAGCCTTTGCATATCACCCTAGACATCGAGATCACGAGTGGGAAAGACAAGATCGGGTCCAAGATCTCCAGCACATGGACACCTATTCTTGACTTTGGGCTCATGGCACCGCCAATCAGCAACTCGCTCAAATCGTCGTCTAACATTTCCCACTCTCAGTTGCAACTGCAGTTCCAGACCCCACAGCGTCTGCGTTCGTCTCAGAGTCTCCACAAAAAAGCATATCTCAGTACACCGACATTCAATACTCTGCCCAGTGTTCCCTACATCAATGCACCTGGAACCCCCAACACCAAGTCAACATTCGCTATTCCGCAGAGGGTGAAACTGCCCAATCCGGCACCAGGCAGAACACAACTGACAAACGCTCTTTCACAGGTTTCACAGAGCCAGCCCACTTTGAAAACGATGAAGAGAAACTACCGCTCCTTCATTTCTCAGCCTCCTATGGCTTCATCTGCGGTCACAGTGAACCTCACTACAACAAACAATACCTCCCTCTCGGGATTACGCCTTACTTTCCTCGGCAAACTCGACGTCGAACTCGGCAAAATTGCCACCTTAAGCATCCAGGCTGTCAACCTTTCACAGCGCACTTTGCATCTCCTGTTGATCGTAAAGAACCCCCTCAAGCTCAACCCAGTATACTCAAACAACTACGCCGCTGCCAGTAGTGTGTCGTCGTCCAACGTTTTGGGCACTAAGGAAGCAAGCCGGCAAAAAGTGCTTGTGCATAATCGTCAGCAGCTCTACCACCAGTACCATCAAAACAAACTCGAAACATGCGGTGTCATCATGTTGACCAACGATGTCCGCCTTGGTCCAGTAGAGCCCAACGCTGTCTTTGAATCCGAGTTCGACATTATTGGTATATCAAAGGGTGTGTTCAACCTCCAGGGTCTCAAGATATTCGATGTCACCACGGGCGATGGAATCGACTTTGGCAAGCTAATGGAAGTCTTTGTGACCTAGAAGAATACAATGGATAAAAATATGGGATTCTATTCATCTTTATCGCATAATCTAACTACATTCCTCACCGTGGTATACGCAAGGAACAATGCAGAGACGTGGACATGGGCATTGAACAAATACGGCCAATGCGTCGCCACGTCCAGCGAACCATACTGCTCATGGAACACGAGGGTGAAAAAAGAGTCGAAGAGGTGGTAGGTGAACCATGAGTCACAAACCTGAACTGCTGGGGTCAAGAAGGCAAACGAGTCGTTGATCATAGGACTGTGCTCCCAAGTATAGTATTGAAGGCCGCTCAAAGCATAGAAGGTGGTCAAAAAGATAAAACGGCGGTGGCGAGCACTGGTAGATGCCAGAAGAAGAAGGACCCTCCAATCATTGGCTTCGTTGGAGCCCACCTCACACCAAGGAGTAGTCTGAGGGCTGAAAGGTAACGCATCCAGGGCTAATGGCCCGTAGCTGATAGGCTTTGAGGAGAAATAGGCGATATCTTGGGGCATTCTGTTCCAGATTATCATTTGTCGTTGAACATGTCTAGCCCATTGGGAAGTCTCTACCCAGGGAGTCCTCTTGAGGCATGTCCAAAGGATGATGAGGCCTTCGCGGCAAGCTCGCCTTGTCGACGTCCATAAATTGGCTAATTGTTGGAATGGTTTTTGCATATTTTACTCTTGTGGGATCTAGTTTGTTGTTGTTGGAAGGAAAGGGAGGGTTCTCATTTTGCAGCCCAAACGCACCCACCACTAGAGCGTAGATCGACAATACAAGAGCACCACCAACAGCTATGTAGAGAAAAGACGACAGCGACCTGATCATTATAGCCGTAATCTGATAAGCCATTTTTAAAAAGCAGAAAAAAAGAAGGGGCGAGCTGGGAATTGAACCCAGGGCCTCTCGCATGTTTGTCTTTCAATCTGGTGAACCAGATCGTCGCCCAAAGCGAGAATCATACCACTAGACCACACGCCCTTATTGGAAGTAGAAGAGGGGCAGGTAATATATGAAGCAGCTTTTCAATTTATCAAGACAGATAGTTAAAGCTTTCTTCCATTTTTTATAAACCTCACTGTTTTAGCTATCCATTTGTATAAGTCAATTTGCCTAAATCGCGAGACTCGGGGAGTTATGAGTGATCAAAGTTTCTCATGATAATCAATGAAAAATGGTCTTTCTAACAATTTTAATTGGATCAATTTAAAACGTCGAGATACCCTTTGTGTGAAAGACTGTGGTAGATAAATCGATACCAGGTTCAGATGATTTCCACGGCACCAATCTTGCGGTTTCTCAACAGCACATCTGATAAACAGTAGTTGACAAGAAGCAGAAAAGAACCCATTTTTTGGACAAAACGTAGGTGACACCCTGGGTTTTATATTTTCACGTAGCCAATGGAAAAGAAATGTCACTGATTTTACTTCAAACATATGGGTAAAAGTGTGTATCTTGTTAATGACTCTGAGCCATCCAGCGTAAAACAACCAATTGTTTTCAAACCAATACCATCAAGAAGTTCTAATATGCCCGTACATAGAAGTATTTCATTCTTGCTAAGTTCAAGACGAGTGAATGGAGGTAAACTACCGAGCAAGTCCGACGTCTCAGTGATCTACAGCAGTGAGATCACAACGAAAGATGTTGATCAATGAAGCGAACGCCTGAGCTCAATGGCCTAAGGTTATATGTTGATACTTAAGAAAAATCAGCTTATAAATTCGATAACCAATCCTTCAATCTAACTTCTTCAACTTACAGACATTCCCATGGAAACCCAAAAAGAGCTGCCATTTGCAGCCACTCAGTTTCACCATTTGCCACCGCCGCTCGCCAAACAAATAGACGATCTTCAAACTTCCAGCATGAAAAGATCCAAATTTCATAAATCCACCTCCAACGCCACATTAGCCACACCACCGACGATCCCACCAGGATGAGGTCTTACGCTACACATTTCGATACCCAAAACAACGAAAACGGCCATTTTTTTCAATTTTCCAAAATCATCAATTCCATTCCAATCTCCACGAAATTTCAACCAAAACTACCAATCTTTGCGCCACTTTACCAAACCACCCTATACCCATAGTGCACACAGGTGACTCGCTAACGCTGGACAGACACTGACATGCAGCGAACGGCACCGTGCCGTATACGTGGGAGGCCGTCTTGTGTGCAGGACATTCTTAAACGGCACAACAATTCCAGCCCGATTTGGGCCGTTGGCGCCTCAATGGCCCTTGGAATCGCATTCTCCACCTCCGATTACCCAGATCCCGCTTTTTTCCCGCAGTTTTCCGCCCCACCAACGCCCCACCTGTGCATCACCTGTCGCACTATATAAAGCCCAAGGTTCCCCGGAAATTCCAACCACTCCAAAAATGACAGACCTCCAGGAAATCGCCGCCAAGTTGCCCCTTCCCAAATGGACCCAGACACCAGAAGAAATTCTCCAAGAAACTAAGGCCTTCATTGCCGAAGACGTGGCTTTTCACGATAAGATAGCCGCCATTGAGGAGCCCACAGTGGAGAACGTGTTGATTCCAACCACCCGTTACGAAAACGCCCTGTACTTTCCCGTGAACAAACTCACGTTTTACCAGTACGTGTCGCCCGATAAGGCCGTTAGAGACGCCTCTACGGAAGCAGAAAACTTGTTGGACCAGAACTCCATTGAGCAGAACCTGAGAATCGAGGTGTTCAGGGTCTACAACAAGTTGTGGGAGCAGATCAAGGACACGGACGTGGTGGACGCGGAAACGTTGAAGTTCTTGGAAAAGACCGTCAAGTACTACAAGAGAAACGGGTTGGACTTGCCGGAGGACAAGAGAGAGGAGGTGAAGAAGCTCAAGTTGAGATTGGCTGATCTCCAGACCAAGTTCTCCAAGAACACCAACGAGGAAAACGGCCACTTGGCTTTTACTTTGGAGGAGCTCGAGGGCGTGCCCGCGTCGATCGTGGAGCAGTTCGAAAAGACCACCCAGGACGGCGTGGACAAGTACAAGGTCACCTTCAAGTACCCAGACATCTTGCCCGTGTTGAAGTACGCCAAGAAGGAGGAGACCAGAAAGTTGGCCTACATCGAAAACCAGAACAAGGTGCCTGAGAATGCCCCTATTTTGCGTGAAATCATCGAAATCAGATTCAAGCTCGCCAAGCTCTTGGGCTACGATACCTACTCGGAGTTTGTGCTTGAGGAGAGATTGGCCAAGAACCAAAAAACCGTCTTGTCGTTTTTGGACGACTTAAAAGAGAAATTGAGCCCATTGGGCAAGAAAGAGCTCCAGAAGATGAAGGAATTCAAGACCAAGCTGTTGGAGGCCCAGGGCTCTCCTGCTCAGGAGGCCTACTACGCCTGGGACCACAGCTACTACAACAACTTGCTCTTGGAGCAGGAGCACCAGGTGGATCACCAGAAAATCTCCGAGTACTTCCCCTTGGACCAGACCATCGAGAAGATGCTTGGTTTCTACGAGACCTTGTTTGATGTCAAGTTTGTCAGCGTCGACAACCTGGACAAGCTGACCGTGTGGCACGAGGATGTCCGCAAGTTTGCCTTGTTCTCCAACATCAAGTACAACGAGCCCAAGAACGAGTTCAGAGGCTGGATCTTCTTTGACCTCCACCCCAGAGAAGGGAAATACACCCACGCCGCTGAGTTTGAGCTCGAGGCTGGCTACGAAAAATACGACGGCTCTAGACAAACGCCCTTCTGCTCCTTGGTGTGCAACTTCACCAAACCGCAAAAGGAAAAGCCTTCTTTGTTGAAGCACGACGAAGTCACCACCTTCTTCCACGAATTGGGTCACGGTGTCCACTCGCTTTTGTCCAAAACCAAACACGTTCGTTTCCACGGTACCCACGTTCCAAGAGACTTTGTGGAGTGCCCCTCGCAAATGCTTGAATTCTGGACCTGGTCCCCCAATGAGCTCAAGACCTTGTCTGCTCACTACCAAACCAAGGAACCTCTTGCTGAGGACCTCCTTGACAAATTGATCAAATCGAAGCACGTCAACACCGGTTTGGCCAACTTGCGCCAGATGCACTTTGCTCTTTTTGACATGAAGCTTCACACCATCGCTGACGAACAAGGCATTGAGTCTGTGGACCTTGACAAGTTGTGGAACGAATTGAGAGAAGAACTCACCCAGATGAGCGGAGGCGGTCTTACCAGCAGAGGTTATGCCACTTTTGGCCACATTGCCGGTGGTTACGAGAGTGGTTACTATGGCTACTTGTACTCCCAGGTTTTCGCAACCGACATCTACTACACTCACTTCAAGTCCGACCCAATGAACGTGGAGAGGGGTTTACAGTACAGAGACACCATTCTTAAAAACGGTGGTTCCAAGGAGGTGTTGGATATCTTGAAGGAGTTGCTTGGTAGAGAGCCCAACTCGGAGGCTTTTATGACCGAGATCTTGGGCTCCGCCTAACAGTATAGTAAAAGTATGATTGATTTACGGCCAATCGGCCGAATTATGGTCACGAAATTCACTCGTGTAGTTACAAGGCCTCTTTCTCAATGCTGAATTCAATTACTTACAATTGCCGTGGCATGCTGAATTCACCCGGTCATTATTTCTCCTCAGTGACAGTCTCAAAAGGAGTGAGCAGGGAAGTACCCTCGGTCCATGAAACACCGTCGTAGGTGATGGCCTTGACGGCCTTGACAATGTCGTCAAGAGAACCTCTCACCTGCTTGGTGGAGTCTCTCTCTCTCAAAGTAACAGAACCGTCCTTGACAGTGTCAAAGTCAATGGTGATACCGAAAGGAGTACCCAACTCGTCGTTTCTAGCATATCTCTTACCGATGGAAGCCGAAGAGTCGTCCACCTTGAATGGAACCTGGGCCTTTCTCAAGGCAGAGGTGATCTTACCAACAAGTGGAGTCAAGTCAGCGTGGGAAGACAATGGCACCACCAAGACCTTGGTAGGAGCCACCAAAGGAGGCAACGACAAAACAGATCTGTCCTTGTCCTCGGGTCTAGCCCAGAAGCTGTGCTCAAAGATGGAATAGATGATACGGCCAAGACCGAAAGAAGGCTCAATCACGTTAGGAGTGAACTCACGAACGTGCTCGGTTCTCTCGACTCTCTCGATCTTGACAAGCTCGGCTGGAACCTCAACCTGGCCCACGTTAGGCACATCAGCAGAGATCTTACCGGTGTCAGCCAACTCCTTGGCCAAGTCCTCCAACTCACACTGGGTTCTGTCGGTCAAGAACTTGGTCACGGCACCAGCGTCCTTTCTGAACTTAGGACCGAACTTCTTCTTGTCGATGTCGACCTCGAAGTTGTTGACGGTACGAGGCTGGTCCAAGGGCTTTCTGACCACGAGCTTCTCGTTGGTTCTGGCAGAGTGGACAGACAAATCGTAGGCAGAACGGTCGGCACAACCAACACACTCGACCCAACCGTAGGAAGTCTCCAACTCAGCATCCCAACAGTCCGAGGCGTAGTGAGCCATCTCGTTCGACAAGTGCTGTCTGAATCTGCATCTGTTGGGGTCCACACCGATCTTGATGAGGAACTGGTAGATTCTGGCAATGAAGTAGCCCAAGGTCTCGTTGTCGACCATGCCGGTGGAAACGGCCTCGCCAATGGACTTCTCGACCAAAGTGTTGGAACCAGCCTCCTGGACGTCCTTAGGCAAGAACTTCAACTTCAAGTCCTTGACCTCGGCAAAACGGGGGTGGCTCTTGTCCTCGGGGTCGACAAAGTGCTCGATCTCGGCCATCAAGAACTCTCTGACTCTCAACAAACCAGCACGAGGGGAGATCTCGTTACGGAAAGACTTACCAATGGCAGCAGAGGCGAAAGGCATTTTTTCGTTGTTGAACTCCAACAACTTGGCAAAGTTCAAGAACTGGCCCTGGGCGGTCTCGGGACGGAGGTAGCCCTTCAACTGGCCAGATGGGCCAATGGCAGTGTCGAACATAAGGTTGAACTCCACAGGAGGCTCCAACTTACCGCCGGTGGCAGGGTTGGTGATGTCGTACTTGGTGATCAAGTCGCCCAACTCGGGGCCGGAGAAACCGTCGATCTGGTTCAAAACAGACTCGTACTCGGCCACAACCGCGTCCTCCAACTTGACGTTCTTGATCTCCTTCACCTTCTTCTTTCTCTTCTTGTCGTCCTTCTCCTCGACCTGCTGGCCACGGGCGGCCTTGTCGCCCTTCAAACGGGCCTCCAAAACCTCCTCCACCAAGTGGTCGGCTCTGAAGATCTCACCAGTCTTCAAGTCCTTACACATCCAGTCGGTGAACTTGTCCACATGGCCGGAGGTCTTCAACACCTCGTACGGCGTCAACATGGTGGTGTCGACCTCCAACATGTCCTCCTCCAAAATAAAGTGTTTTCTCCACGTGTCGACAATGTTGGCCTGGAAACCACAGCCTGGAGGACCGTAGTCGTAGAGACCACTGACACCTCCGTAGATCTCGAAGGCTGGGGCGAAAAAGAAACGTCTCTTCAACACCTGCTCCAAGGCGTCTCTGGAAAATGGCACAGCCGCTTTGCTTGACATGGCTGCTCGCTGAATGAAGTTTTTGATGAACAGAATGGTAGTGGTGGGAGTTACGTTTTTTTATCTCTTTGGAGGTCGGGTCACGTGAGTCATCGGGGTGGGATCTGGGTTTTCCAATGACTCAGGCGGAGGGGATGAATAGTCAGGGGGTCAAGATGATCTTTAATATGCACATTTTTGTGGAATTTCGTTGTTTGGGTTTTGTTGGTGTGGAGGTTGTTGGAGGTGTCGTAAAGATGTGTCAGTGCGTCGGTGAAATTTCACCTCGGACTTGGTGAAAAATGGGTTTTGTGGGTTTTGGAAAATTGGTCCAATTGGGGTTGTGGATTTATGATGGAACAATGGGAGGTTTGTGGATTAGGGCTTGAGAAGTAGATTCGACGTTTGTTGTTTCTGCTTCCATGGTACTACTAGGATACGAGAATTAAGAGTCATCTTCTGGAAAATGAGTACACTTGAGTCACTATTTTCACAGTTCCAAAAGAATCATAAACTTCAAGACACCGATGACAATGTGTTCGTTTTCATGGTCGATATATGTAATTTTTCGAGGAGTCTTCACTTGCATGTCCAATTTGCAACCACTACCTCAGTACTACAATTAGCTGCGAAAGCTCCAAATAAACCAACAACCCTACACTATAAAAAATAAAATTAGAAGAATTTTGAAAACTCTGAAATGTTGAGACAACCAAATCCTGCCTCACCAATTATCAGGATGTTCCTATGACTCAGTCGAAAATGTGGGGAAAGTGGTCAGATCACTGGAGGCACGGCTGTGACACCACTTCTGAAGAACCCAAAATGACACTTCAGCACAAATCCAAAAAATAAAGAAATAGCCATCAAAAGATTGAATTAAATAATTTACATTATTAATCTTCATTATGGAAATTGCTTTTGACCAACTCCCCCCTCTACTCATACACACCTCGTAAATCTCAAATTGCAGCCATTGCATACCGAAGAAAGTCCGACCGTTTTACGGAATTGAGACAGTTGGCAAATTACTCAATCTTCAAATCTGGTATCTGCGGCTTCTAACCATGTTGCATCGGGCAACCACCCGGGCAACCACCCGGGCTTCTACTGATTCTGCGTTATTTGATCGTATTGTTAAATATGCACGGAGAGCGAGTCCGGCGCTACTCCGGCGGGGCAGTCTATAATCTTAGGCGGTTTTCTTGCTTTCGGCAGGCTCGTACGTCAAGTCGCCGGTGCCAAAGATTCTCGACTTGATGAAGTAATGCACTTGCGAAAATGGGTATGTCGTGGGGTTCTGGCCGCCATCAGTGTACCACGAGTTGCAGCCACCGAACGGCGAGCCGAAAACTGCAGTGGAAAGCTGCTTCTGTGCCGTTTCAAACCATTCGTAGTAGGCCGAGCGGCTGCAGATGACAGACTTGGATTTGCCATCCACAATAGGCTTTGCGACTTTTCCAACCCAGGCAACGGCATTCTCAATGGCTGAAACCACAGAAGAATGTCCAGTGGCAGAGTTGGGGCCGGCAAAGAAGAAAAAGTTGGGCTGGTCTCTCACCATGTGGGTCTTGTACGCACTGACACCCTCCTTCTTCCAGAGGGCCTGGACGTTAATGCCGTTTAATCCTGTCACGCTCATACCATTGTAGAAGGCCTTGGGGATAGAGTAACCGGTACAGGCGACAATGACATCCGCCTTGGCTTTCGTGCCATCCTTGAAGTAGACGGTGTCCTCGGTGATTTGTTCAATGCCGGAGTCGTTAAGCTCAATTCTTGGATTTCTGAGCAGCGGAATGTACTTGTAGTCGAAAATGAGTCTCTTGCAACCAAGCTTAAAGTCTGGGATGATCTTGTCGTAGTACTCAGGAGCGTACTTGCGGACATAACGCTTGCACAGCCATTGGTTGACGGCTCTGAGGAGTCTGGCAAATGGTCCATCGCCCTGGAACAATGGGTATCTCAACTCGGCGAACAAAGCGACAATCCAACGCAAAAGAATGAGTCCGAATCTCCAGCGTTTGAGGAGGTTGTAGGCGGAATGAAGGAATGGTGGTGGTGGAGGAGAGATCCAGTGCTTTGATCTGAACACTTGCGTCACCTTGGCTGCATCACACTCGTCAACCAAAGCAGGCACAACCTGGGCAGCTGAGGAGCCGTTACCGACAACCACAACGTTTTTGCCCTTGATTTCAACAGAATGGTCCCAAAGCGCAGAATGCATGTAGTGTCCCTTGAAATTTTCCAAGCCGGGTGCTTTGAGCTGATTAGGGTAGACCAAACCTCCGCTGCATGCAATCAAGATCTGACAGGTGTGTTCGAATCTCTGGCCCAGCTTGATGTTGGAGCCTTTGAGCAACCAGGTGCTGCTCTCCTCTTGCCAGATGGCGTCGTTCACCACGACACCCAATTGCGACTGTTTCCTGAGACCGTACTTTTCCACAACGTTTAAAAGGTACTCCTCCATCTCGTACTGTGGGGGTCTCAAGGTGGACCAGTTATCATTGAGCTCGGCGAAAATGGAGTACCACAATGCTGGAATATCGGAGGCACATCCGGGGTACGTGTTGGCCCACCAGGTTCCACCCCACTCCTCGTGCTTATCAAAAACGGTAAAATCGTCCGTTTTCCACTTGTTCTTGCACATTAAGGAAGCGGCGATACCGCCAAAACCGGCACCGACGATACCAACCTTGGATTTGGTGTGCTGCACGGGTTTGGAGGTATCCTCGTAGAAATTCACGTCTGGACCCAAAACAGCATAAGTGTCTTCGACCTTGGCTCTGTACGGAGATGGGTCTTTGTGACTGAGACGTTGGTTGTGCAAAAGCGACATGATGAAATTTCAGTTGATGGCACACTGAACAAAAAAAAAATTTGCAAAATTCTCCGGGCCTGTGCCTTCTATATATTCTCGACCCACTTGCACATGATAGAGTTCAAAGCGTACCAATGCTGACGTCGCGGTGACTGGCAACCCGGTGCAGGAGGCGTTGCGGGGGGACTCACATGAATTTGACAGGCTGAAACAGATAAATCTGGGGAAGGTTCAGGAACAGGCGTTTTTAGTGGAAAATCAAAGATTCAAAATAAGCTCTTGTGATGCAGCAGCTTCAAGCTTTTGACGGTTTTAAGTAGCGCATTATTCTCCAAGCCGCACTGCCTGGTGGTCAAGGACGTTTTCACGGCAATCACCGCATTGTCTATGGTGCACCGTTGACTTAACCCCAATCCGGAGCAAATCTTGGTTCGCATGATCCTAATTGTAGACCCGTTTTGGAAACTTAGACTACAGCCCCTTATCCTTAACTCCACTATTGTAGGCTTTGCAGCATCCGAGGGCCGATTTGCGTAGTAGTGATGCTTCGGACATGAAAGGCAAGATTCGGAGTTAGTCTGCTAGTATCTCCACCGGTTTTTTTTCGAGGACGATGCATGGAGGCTTGGATGGAGAACAAACACAGCTTTAGCGGAAAACGCAAAAAGCACAAGCATCCTCGAAGCAAGGTTGCAAAAAAAGCTCTCGCCAAATCTCGGGCCATATTGTTTCCCCTCAATCTGTCACCGTGCATCTTCAGACAGATTGGCTGATGTTTGCAGAAGTTGCATCTTCATCTCGCACATGCAAACTGTTTCTCCGTAGAACGTTCAAACCCCGGAAAGTTAATTTTTACCGGAGGTAATGTTAAATGGCTGCAGCTTGGGTGGTAGCCTCAATGCCATGCGTTGTTTAACTGTGGGGCGTATCAACGTGAAGTACATCACCACCGTTACGATCGACGAATGTAGGTAGATCTGCCAAACAAGACGGGCTGCATTGATGCGAACGTTCCAGTCCCACCTATCAACCGTACCGTATTTGTAAGAGGTGCCTGAAAAATTGTCAGGAGGTAGCCTAGCTCTGCTTAGTGTCTTCAAGCATCAGCTCCTCGTCGTAGTCGTATTCGTCCTCAGCTTCCACAAAGTACTTGGCTGCTAAAACAACGAGAGTGACCACACAGGTGATGCCAAAAACACGGTCAAACCACGTATCAAGAAACTCCGTCTCCGTGTCTGCCTCACCTTGCGGGGTCAAAGAAAGGAGTTTGTTCATCTGACGACTGAGTTCAGGCGGAAGGTTCGACTTGATCATTTGTGCAGTGGCCACAATGTAAATGGCAAGAAATTCACTAACCAATAAGTGCTTGAGCCAGGTCTTTGTTTGAGCTGTCAAGTTGGTACTAGCCGCCGGTAACACCCTAGTAAGCGTTTTCACAGTCACCAAGACGTTTTGAAACGAACAGGCAAAAAGTGACCCAGACAAGATAAAGCTCACCTGGTTGACAAGCTGCTGCTCTGGGATAGGAAGCTGTGTGAAGGTCGTCTGGATAAGCTTAGCTATGGTGATGGCCAAAGCGTCCTTCGTCTTCATGCTCTCCAGCTGCCAAAAGTACCGCGATGGGATTCTGATGAAAAGCACGCTAAGCACACGGTAGACACAGTAGAAGGAGAAAAGGAAGGAGAAGGTTGACGCCACTTTCTCAATACCCTTTTGGAGCGGCGCTCTTTCCTTGGTACGCACGAACTTCTCCACGTTTTTAGCCACATCGTCGTAGATCAGTTCCTTGAGCAGCTTGAGCGAGTCAATTTCAAGCGTCAATTCTTGATCTTCCGGTTTTTGACGGGTGAATGCTGAAAGACTGGCGAAACTCAGCACCTTGTTGAAGAGCTTCTTGCCGGATCCCCTTAGACCTTTCAACAGACGGACACCCTCCTGCTCGACTTCGTTGTAGGCGGAGCCGCTATTCTTGGATAACACGTTTTCAAGCTCCTGCTGGCGTTTCCGCAAAAGCATCTTTGTGTTGTTGTACGACTGAATGTGGTCATTGACAGAAACCTCGTTAATGACTTTACGTTCTGATCTCTTCTCCCGGGCACGTTCCCAGAACCACCTGAACGGCGTCAGGGTACTACCCACGCCCGAAAGCACTGCAGTAAACGTCACGCCCGCAAGCACGATGTCGTTGGTGATGTGTTGCATG